AAAAAAAAAAAAGGAAACAACAACAAGGCTGATATTCAGCCATCTTCACCGAACAAGCTTGATCAATAATGGATTTATTTTAAAGCAAATGGGTAAACTTGCTTTTTAATTAATAGGAATTTAGAATGACTGGAGAGCCCATAAAGAAAGCCAACTGTGGTTGTAGCAGAATTAACTCACCAAAACTGTTTATGTTTTTCTTGTTTTGACTGTCTTCTGCTGCTTTTTGCCACTCCATTTCTGAAATTGTCTAAACATAATGACCTTTTTAAGTCTGCTCAATGCAGCCTTTTTTTCTTTGAAGCGGCAATTCCACTCAGGTAGCCAATCAGAATGCAGGATTCACTTTATATTGCCTACAGGTGCTGCCAGCTCTAAAAAAAGATGAAATTTAAGATTGTGTTTGTAGGGAGCATCAGTTTCAGCATTGTTTGGTGAAGTTTACCATGGAAAATTAGAGCAGTCACTACTCATTTATTTTTCAACTCTTTCAATTAGTTTAATGGTGATTGAAAAAGCTGTTAAATCAAATTAACTGAACAAGGTTTTTGCCAAGAGAACATGGACAAACCCAAATCAATCAAGAAGAGTTAATTTCAGTTGAACACAACCTGATAATAAAAAAGATACTGTTTATTGCATGCTCCGGGAAATTTATTTGCATTAACTGCATTAACTAACCATGCTATTTTAATTTTTATTTAGGCTTCCCTTCGGCCATCACATGATCACTCAGGGTGCAGTACACTAAGGCGGTATTATGCTCAGCTACAATTCTTACAGTCCAGGTTTCCACTGGGTGAAGGTGGAGCAGTTAATGTCCAGTTTACATGGTGTGTACTTGTACTTGAACATTAAAAATTGAAATTAAAATTATTCTAAGCTGTATGTGTATGTACTGAGGTATAATTTGTTAATATTTTGTTCAGGAAGTACCGTGGTAAACACAACAATAATAATAATAATAATACTTGGAGGATGGAAACTGAAATGAAGCGCTTCTTTGGTACAAGATACAAAGAAATATTGCTGAGAATGCAGAAAGCTGTATTAAGTAGCACTCATCCTCGGAGACCCTGGGGCTGAGTCGATTTCAAGTTAGGGCATGAAGAGCCCCTGGGGACATTGTCTTACAAGACTAGTTCCAAACAGTCACAGTCATTCTGCCATCTGATTGGTGCCAGAAAATCTTTGTGTTTTTCTGCCCAATCAGAGTGAAGTGTGCTTTAGAGTCCTTTCGTGTGTTTTAACACGGACATATACTAGTAGCTCAGTTGCTCACTATGTTTGTTTGGACCGTGCAACAAAGATTTGCTGGAGGTGAAAAGTTTCAATCTCAGCACACAATGTAAGAGAAATGNTACTGCATAATATTAATAATAATTTATTGATTTATAATGTGCTTTTTAACATACCAGGTGATCAAAAGTGCATAATCTAAATCTCAACTCAAAGAAATTACGTGGACTTTCTATCATATTTGATGTAAGCCTTCAGAATTGAGGATTAAGAGAAGATTTTTAAGGAACTGGCAACTTACAATTGAACAGTACTGCAATTGTAAAACTCGCACAATAGCATTTTAAACCTACAGATCAATTTAAACAACAGTGTATGCTCTTTCTTTCAATTCCTGTATTTGTCAGTTAATATCATAAGGCTTTTTTTTTACCTGAACATATGCAAGGGGAAAATGTTATGGTGTACAGTGTTCAAACATTGATAATACTACTTAAATATCTCTCACAGGCTCAACAAGCTTTTTATTTGTTTATCACTACATGCAAGGAACAGTAATTTTGATAATTTGGTCAAAATGAGGTATTACAGGGTTTCCACACTCCTTGAAAGTCCTTGAATTTAATTTTTTGTTTTCAAGGTCTGGAAAACCCTTGAATTTAGACTCAGGTCCTTGAAAATTTCTGAAAAGCCCTTGAAAATAAGTGGAGATGAATCAAAGTCAAAGTTTTCTTTTGTTTTCAGTGTTGAAAATGTAAGTTTCTGGCACAAATTGCAAAACGAGGTTTCCTTTCAAATCCTGCATCTGATTAAGTTTCTGGCACAAATTGCAAAAACGAGTTTTCCTTTCAAATCCTGCATCTGATTATAATGTTTGACATGTGAATTATATATACTTTGTACCTGCCTAGTGCATTGCACATAACCCTGGTTACCTAGCACGTGAACACTCTTATGTGCATGCTTGAAGTCATGCTTGTTGGACTTTTCAGCTGGTCTTGCATGCATTGTTTTTTTATTTCTATTAGCTCCTATTTAATGCAAAAGGTCCTTGAATTTGAGAGCCAATGTCCTTGAAAATGACCTGAAAAGTCCTCCAAAGTCCTTGAATTGGGTTCCTGAAAAAGTACAAGAACCGTGGTATTAGCCTCTTGAAATAGTGCTCTCTAAATGTTTATCATGTTTATAATTGAGAGTATTGTTACTGAAATTATCATTGACTATTTTTTCTTGTTGTTATAATTATGACATGACTGATGAAGTGTAAAAGTTCACATTTTTACAAATTTGTTTTGAAGGACTGATCTTTATTCAGAAGAACCAATATCATTGTCTGATATAAGATTTGAACAAGCAGCCATTCTTCATAACTTAGGTAAGAGACATTAATTGACTGTATAGTTAACAACTATTTACCAAAGTGGAGGTGGTTAGTGGTGGATATTTACCAAGCCGCAAAGTGGCGAGGTAAATATCCACCGCTAACCACCAACACTGAGGTGAATAGGTGTTTTAGTATATACTAAAACAGCGAGATAATATACGCTAATTTGTTAATTTGAGTGTTCTCTTTGCTTGTCGCGGATGCAAACCGGGACACCATTTTTTCCTGAGTTGCTCGGAGGTAAATAGCAAAGGATATTCAGAGTTTGTCTAGCCAATCAGCGTGCCTTTAATGCTATCCACTGTTTTAGTATATGTTATAGTTCAATTTTTTTCTTTGGTTTAATTTTTTTTTACACTGGTTTAGAATTTTCACACTGGTTTAAAATTTTTAAGCACACAGCTCATCCTTATTTATTTGGTGTTTTTGTATGCAGGGTTTGATTAATCTTTTGGACAATTGATATATTATTGTGTATTGGATATAATAGAGAGACAATGGTTAGTAAGACTGCTGTGATAGATTCTCTGTGACATACTATGGACTATTAATCATACAATACTCTCATAGAGAAGACATCCTTTCTTTGCAGCTTCTCTACACTCGCAGCTAGGATGTCAAGAGGACAGAACGGCAGAGGAGGTTTGTTCTGTTTTGATTGCATCAACAACAATGACAACAATTTTTATTATTTGATCTTTTTACATAAAATAAAAGTGGGATAGTTTGTCCCATAAATAGCTAGAAAGCTAATTGTGGCAGGGCAAGACAGGTACCTGTTTAACATAAATCGTCATAGTATCTAAGAACAAGAAGTTGTTATTTACACAGTCACATGGTCACAGAGTCGCACAGAAAAAGATAAGAGGACATTTAAACTCAGAAGGTGTATCTATGTACCTACTTTTTTAATGATCATGGGGATTTGAATATAGTTATCTTTTTTTTCTAAGATATCAAATAGCAATTTGCGAAGGACTTTGTTGAAAGCTTTCTTTGGGAGATCGTTATACAGCCTGGTATCTTATTCCACAGCTTTACT